CTCTGACTATAAGCAGAATTATCTATGGGAGAAGATCTTGTTTTAGTGTGATGTACTTTTTAACACCCCTCCTCAAAGCAGGTTTCTCAACATTGTGTCCAGCTGTGTTTTTACCGCTTGCAAGGATGGCAACTCCACAGCCTTTCTCAGCAACTTCTTCCAGAGTTTAACTACCCTCACAGTGAGAAAGTGTTCTCTTATGTTCAGACAGAATTTCCTGCCTTTCAGATTGTGCTCATTGCCTCCTGTCCTTCCACTGGATAATGCTAAGAATACAGAATGCTCCATATTCTTTACTGCTTTCTATCAGGGACTGCTAAAATGATCTTACCCAAACCTTTCCTTATCCAGCCTGAGCAACTCCAGCTCTCTCAGCATCTCCAACCCCTTTATCATCTCAGTAGTGCTTTGTTGGATTTGTTCTAGTAGGCTCATATCTCTCCTGTACTCTTGTACTCTTGACTCCGTAGTGTTCAGTTAACATAGTTGTAGTCTTACCAGAGCTGATTAGAGGGGAAGGATCACTTCCCTTGACCTGCTGGTGATGTTCCTCTTAATGCAGCCCAGGATACCATTGGCCTTCTTTGCCACAAGGACATGTTTTTTCTCCTGAGTATTCTTTCTTCACAAAAAAAAAAAAAAGAGACTTAAGACCTACAGAAACAGTTGCAAACACATCAGAGTGGTCAGTCAGTGCCTTCTGCACCACAACAACTAAGGAATTTCTCAGGTGGCACAAAGAAATTTCATTTTCACTTTTATTTCTAAAAAGAACTACATTGCGACTAACTATAGGTATTTTTAAGACACGGATGCTTATTCAGCAGTGCTGATAAGAAAATTTCCTTTGGAACAGACTGTTGACGCAACATTATGTATCCTATAAATTTTCTTTACCTTCCCCCTCCAACACTTCTGACCAGTGGCCCAGTCATTCACAAGGCTCTATGCCACACTACCATCTAGTGGCATATGTTAATATGACATTACCCACCATAAAATTGCTCTTATCCACTGACATTTCTTAGCAATCTCAGGAAAGAAGAAAGTGTGTGAAACATCTTCTTATGCCTGAATATAGTCCCATGTGAAACAGCATAAAGCGAATTTATCCTATGCGGGACTCAGGATGCTGCACCCCATAGAACAGGTGTTTTGCTCCCAGAAAATTAAGGGACCCTGGATATACAGTAGCTGAAGTCACCACATCGCAGGACTGCTGTAGCTCTTCAGCGATGCCATAAAAGCTGAACAAACGTAGCCAGCAAAGGAGAACGACACCACAGATTCACACTGTAAGTATCTAAGTACTGTGAAATTTTGCACTGGGTTACCCGTTGGACATGAGTATTGATATCCAAAGGGTATTTGCCAAATCTCCATGCTGTTACCTGTTGACCATGTACTGATATCCATGCTGGCTGAGACTGCTGCGCAACCACGGTCAGTCAGTTCAATTAGATAATGAACTAAGCTTGGGAAGATTAAAAGAAAGCCACATACCTCTGTGCAGACCTGACCTCAGATCTGAAAATCCACCCATCAACCAGGACACCCTTGATGCCCACAGCTGCCAGGGAGAACGTGAATCACTGTGGTGCAGCCCGGCGAGAACAATCCAGGGAAGGTCCCATAAGGACAAGCAAAGGGTGAGAACAACCACTGTATCCAGTGTGCATCCAAAAGCAGTATTTGACTGTGTATCCACGGCTTGATCATAGAGCTCTGATTGTTGTTTTTGTTCTATTTTTTATTTCTTTACTATACTTTTTAACGTTGTGATACTTGTAGATTGTCTGGCATTAGTTGTTTAATATTGTATAGTGTCTGTAGTATGTGTAGAATCACTTAGATCTAACAAAATCTTTTATTTGACAAATGATGATTTTGGCTGATCAGTTCTGTTTGCACTTGGGATAATTTTCCTTCCACAATAACTTTTGCGTTTTTGTGAAAAAAAAATTCTAGAATGCAATTTGTGCATTTTTTCTAGAAAAAAATCTTAAATCAATACAATTGGATGTATTCTACTGCAGCCACAGTATACATGTCTATAGCCATGTAATATATCCATATGACTTCTTATTTTTTGGAACTTTTTAACTGGTAATTTGGTAGTTAACATTGAGACTTAACACATTGTAAAAAAATGACAAAGAGCAAATATTTGTCTTCCGTTATAAACAGAGCATTTAAGAACAACTAAAATAGGCTTGTTTCAAAAAGGCAGTGTATTGCAAATAAGAAAAGACTGCAGTGGGTTTGAGTCTTCAACAAAAATATTCTGCCTGGGAACACAGTGACCCCTTTGACAGTAGACTTGCTTTTTACTTGCTAGATTCACCAAAGAGCATGTCTTCTGACAGATGACAGCACCAATAAATACTTGACTGCTATAAAGCATAAAAGGAAGAAGTTGTTTCTACTAAACACAAGAGAAATGTATTTGTAAAATAAAAATCTAATTTATTTGTATTTAAATACATTCAGATATTACTGTGCAATCTGTTATTTTCAAAGTGTTAATATTTATTCATTTAAGCCTTTTAAATTTTACACTTTGCAATTTTGACTTCTAATGACAGCAATTGGTGTTTACCCAAGATATTCCTCTTTTTCAAATCTTCATAAATGGTTACTTACATGGAAGCAATTTGTGTTTTCTGAGATATCTCTATTTCACTCTTAAAAGTTTTTGTACCCTTGAAAGTGAAGAGCAGAACAGACGAGTTGAAACACTGGTCTGAATATTAAGGAATTTCTGCTGTTTTATACTGCTGATATATACTTCTCTCTGCCAAAATAAATCCCTAAGAATAATCTCTTTTCTTTAGGTCAGTGTCTAAAGGCATTCTAGGTTTGCAAACTCTCAAAGATCAAGATTACAACTAAAGAGATTTAAGGAAGGAAAGATTAAGCAAATCACTGCCAAAATAAATATCCAACTGATTGCTAAATACTCTGTAAATACATGATCTGAATGACATAGCTCTGTACTTTTTGTGATGATAATTATTTGTGATGATCATCATTAAAAATTTACTAGATTTCAAGTTGCCAAACTTGCTTGAGATTTACTAAAATGATTTTTTTGACCTCTGCTATATATGTATATATATATATGTATATATATATATATAAAATGAAAAATCCAGTTAAACGCTAGAATCATAGAATGGCTGAGATCGGAGGAGACCTCTGGAGATTGTCTAGTTCAGTATCCCATGCTCTAGCAGTGTCACCAAGATTCCTATTGCCCAGGACTGTGTCTAGACAGATTTTGAGTATCTCCAACAATTAAAACTCCACAACCTTTCTGGACATCCTGTTCCAGTACTCTGTTACGCTCACAATAAAGATTTTTTTTTCTCATATTCAGATGAAGTTTCCTGTGAAGATCAGAAGCAGCCTTGGATGCAGCAACCACAAGACGATATTCAGGATCTTGCAGGGCAAAAAGCAGGTTCACAACCCTAGAGAGCAGTTTCAGTATCTGCATGGAACAATCCTATGGGATACAGCCCTGGAGAGTTGAGAATCCAAGCGAATTGGTTGATTTTTCAAAGATCACTTCCCACAAGTTCAATAATAGTCCATCCCAACAAGTAGGAAGTCAAGCAAATGTAGCAGGATGCCTGCACAAATGACCAAGGAGTTCCTGACTAAACATGAAAAGAAACATGAAAAGAAAGTTTGCAAGAGGTGAAAGAAGGGAAAGGTGACCTAGGAAGAATATAGGGACACTATCCAAACCTGTGGGGATTGGATTACGAAAGCTAAAGCCCATCTGGAGTTGAATATGGTGAGAGATCTGAAGGACAAGAAGGCGGCCTTCTAGAAATACATGAGGAGCAAAAAGGCTTGGGAAAATCTGGGCATGCTGTTAAATGGGGCAGGGGGCCTGCTCCCAGAGGTGCTCAATGCCTTCTCTGCATTGGTCTTTACAAAAATTGATTCTATTCTTTGGTTTTCTAAAATTATCTTCATAAGGTTATTCTGTAATTGTATTTAAGAATTAAACACTTTCAGTTACTGTGTTGAAATTTTGTTATTCTTCAATAATTTTCTGCTTCCTTTGGAATCTCCCATTTTCCTTTGGGATTTTGACTAAATGCTCATCAAAAATTGGACAGCATCTCAATATAATACATCATCAACTAGGGAAATCAAAGCGGAGTATGTTGAACTGAGAAGTTATGGGTCCCTCAACTGGTATCTTTCTTTGTTACCTCACCTATGAACTGGGTAAAAATTTTTGTTTCTTGAGGGTATCTATTATAATAATACATTTTTGTTGTTGCTGTTTGTTTGTTTGTTTTTGCTGGGCATACAAATACTGATAAAGAAAATGCATTTTAAGCCTAAATTTTGGAATGTATTCATATTTGCGCTCTTATGTGCATACTCTTGTTGACTATTTAGTCCAGTTTTATAAAATGCTGTGCTCAGCAACTTTTAGACAAGAATCTTGATAAGTCTCTTTGACTTATTAACCCATACGAAGTTTATGAACTTCCTAACACTTACTACTAATACAAATAAATTTGATTACAGGTAAAAACATCATTTAAAAAAGACATATTTATTCTGATTTTTATATTTACTAAAACATTCAATTTCAATTCCAAAAAGCAAGTTTTATCATTTTCTTTTATTAAATAATTGAGGTGTAAGAATAATAGTTCAAAAAGCATACTGAAAAGAAGACTAATGAAAACTTCCTGGTTTTGCATTTATTTTCAATATATATGGAATTACAATAGTCATAACATAAAGAACTGCACCAAATTCAAGCAAGAAATATAACACATTGGTGTCTAAAGAAAGAACCCAAATTAAGAGTTTGTCTGTTAAGTTTTACAACATCCCACAAAAATACCGTGAAGTTCCAACTCAAGTATAATTAAATTTATACATCTTAAAGGATAAAAAAATAGGAATGTATAAATCACTTCTTTAAAATTGCCTAATAAGTAACGAGAGACAAGCGTCGTTTAATAAGAAACAACTGAGATATATAAGTAATTCTTAGCTTTAAGAGTTAATTTAATACACTTGCAGCTTACTGATTTTTTAAAAATAAAGCAGCTCCGCATTGAATCCACTGGTCTTGGTTTCCTCCACAAGGTACATCAATATTTGTCACCACATGCTCTCTTTCCATGCTGGTGTAGACTGGTAAAGATATGCATTCCTCTGGAGAATATGGACCATATGCATCCTGTCAACAAACCATTAATTAGTTATCATTTAAAATGGAAACAAAATAGGAGAAAAGAACGATCTCCAATGATATGATATTCAATGGATCATTTGATTTAAAATTTAGACAGTTGATAGACAGCAGAAAAATAGTCCCCCTTAGTCTGAGCTAGAAAGAAGGACTACCACCAAGGCAGAGGCTTTAGAGAGGTCTCCAGAATGTTACATTACTCTGCTTCTACATTTTCTATCCAGTTGGTTAAAATGAAATCAGAGGACAGGATGTAGTAGAGCACCCTTCCTGATCCTATGAACTGCATATCAAAATCTTCATACAGCTGAAAAACAAGGTCACATTCCAGAAGGTTCAGATAACCAAGGACAAGGTGGCAGTTCCCAGTCAGGAGAGAGCTCCTGGAGAGCAGCAGTTCTGGCCTGCAGGGCATGCTCCAATCCCAGGGAGGCTACACATCTCCCTGGGGGCACCTGCACCACCTCCTCTCCTCCGTCCCTGCAGAACAACCTTGCTGCTCCTCACACAACACAGCCCCATTTGCGATCTGCATCTGAACTACCTGCACGTGGGACATTTCATGAGCTGTGCGTTGGCTGACTGGCACAGTGTGCTGTCATCACAAGTCTAAAGTAAATAGAATAACAATCCCTGACACATCTATCTCAAATTTTTTGAACGTCTGTTTTCAGTAGGGTTAATCTGATTTAAATCTTGTTAATCCAAACAATCATTTATACACACTAACTAATGTTATCTAAAAACTTATTTTCTTGCCAGGTATGTAGTTAGAAACTGAAAGAAAATTAAACTTACTTTAAAATGCATGATTAGTAATTTCTATATTGTGAGATATGAGTGAAGAGCACTACATTATGTAAAAGCTCAGTCTTCAGTTGCATTAACTCTCAGAAGAATAGTGGATCCAACTCCTTTTCCTTATCTGGTCAACTTCTACAGTGAAGCCCATATCGAAAAATTTCAGAGCACAGAAAATCAGAAAAGCTTTCTGTAGCTTTCTGTAATCACTTAGATTTAAAATACAGTAACTAAGAATAAAATCTTAGCAGACTGACAAATTGGTTGACAAAAAGAGGTTTCTGTTTTAAAATAATTATATTTTCTCCTACACAAAGAAGACATCAGCTACTATTCATCTCAAATACAAAGTACACTGAAGGCAGTTTAATTAACTCTCACTTGCATGTGTTTTCCGATAAATCTCTTTACTGGTGTCACATATAACATCTGGATCTTATCTCCAAAGTTTAAAAGAATATAGACTGTTACTCAGAAAAACACTTTTTAAGAATCTGCTTGATCTCTTACATAAGATAATTGCTTTTCAAGATAAAGACAGGGTTACTGATAATTCTAGCCTTGAGTGTGCATGAGATAAACATTTGGTGCTACCATGTGAAATAGTGTACTGTCATTCTCCCCATTCCACCACTATTCCAGACATAAGGATATCTGTAAGTTATTTGTTTAGAGCATCTTTTGGGTAAATTAGGAATCTGTTTACTTCTCTGAGCAAAACGATCTTCTAAGCTATTAAAGAACTGAAAACTCTTTCATTGGTCTGCTTCATGAATGGTTTTGTTTTTGGTTTTTAACTTCCAATCAATTCAGTTTCATCAAAGTTGAGAGACATTCGTACTGTTTAACTGCTGTGCTCTCAGTCTTAGTTTGACCATTATACTTCTAATAACAGTGGAAATAATAATGGAAATAGCAATAAGAATTCAAAAAAAAAGTTGTTGGAATACAACAGTTTGGGAACAACAGTGTCTTGTATAATATTTATCACAATACACCAAAAATCTCATCATTACTATGTGTTTGAAAAAGAGTGAATTATTATACTTGCAATGTCAGCTACTTTGTCTAGTATATATTTTTCTTTAACATTTTTCTAACCAAACCTAAAATTCTCAAAAGCAAACTCAGTAGAGTTTTCTAGGTTGCAAACCAATAAACTTCTCCAGTTAATAAATTCATTTTTGAATGAGAAAATGTATACAAAACATGATAAAAAGTGACACTATTTTTCAATTTTTATATATTGCTAATTTTACTTATTTTGATAGAGAAGTAGAAAAAAAACCCACAGTCATGCCTATTTCTCATCTTTATATACATACTGGATTTTTGGTGTAGATATTTTTAAGTATTTTATTTTGGATCTCTATGTGGAGACCTATGAAATCCCCTTAATTAACTTCCTGTGTCTCAGTTAGTGGTCTAGGCTGTTTCTAGAACCACATCTGGTTGGAGATTGATCCTAGTTAACCATATGATGGAAGGAACTTTTTGAGATGCCTACCTTTTACTAAGACTAAGTAAGGAGCTAAGAAAAATAATTCACAGTGGGCACACAATAACTTTTACACAGATAAATTTAATGGGAGGGATACTACTGGAAGTCTTTCCTCCAGTTATAAGACTATATGAATTGCTAATGCTACATGTACTCAAAGAGGTTGCTATGCAATTTATTCCTTTATTAACAAAGATTGTTATTATAATTGGAAAGTAGTACCAATAACAACACTTACTGTTTGGATTACTGATGCCATTTTCATCTAACACAGTTTAGCAAACAGTGGGTTTTTTATAAGTTAGTGCAAGTAGAGGTAAAGCTTTTTTTGCTTACAGATCATATCATGTTCTCTGTACCTTTTAATGCTGTAGTATTTTATTATATTTCTAATTAAAACATGAAGAATATATATTTTATGAATGAACTTCCAAAGTCACATGTACATTTACTAAATGCATTTTTGAAAATGTTACATTCTTATTTTCAAAACGACAAAATGAAAAGGTGACTTTTCATTTTTCATAACTGAAATGAAGGCCTGACTTATCCTGAACAATGATAAGTAAAAACATATTGGCAAGTGTTAAAAAGTTTTTTGTGTTACATAAAAGATATAACTGCTTCTCCTATTTTTCCTAGGTTACTAAGATTGCAATTTTTATTTTAAAATGAGAGAAAAAACAGTTCAGCAACATCATACTGAAAAGCTATTACAGAGAAAAAAGCAAATTATGGGTCTTGAAAGTTTAGGGCTCTTTAATAATTTAGTACCTGTGGAATCCAGGCCATGTAACAAGGGAATACAGATGACACACTGGGAGAATCATGTAGATTTTCTGAAAGTCGGTTTCCATCAAAACTGCAGCCTTCTAGTTGCAAGCCAGTGATCTGCCATGGAAATATAACAAATTCAAATACACAGTATAGCCTGAAATACTAGTACAGATTACACTACACTTTAACTAATGATGATCCTCTTTACGGTGACCGAACGCTTATATAAGAGGAAACTAATTATTGTAATGTTATATGTGAGAATAGGAAACGAGATTTTAAAGCAAGGTCAGGACAATGCTTCAGAGTCAACTTCCTCTGGTTTGGATTCACATTATGTTAGAGCAAAATACACGTAAAGGTCATTATTCATGAAACTGCATTAGATATCAGACATATAAAAGCAACAGCCAAGTGCACAATTACTACAATGTCAAGAAAGAATAAGCATGACTTCCTGCTTGGAGGTCTGAGCACAGCTTTCAAAGAACGCAACGAGCAATTACAGAATGACAATTCCTGCAGAGGCAAATAAAATATGTTGAAATAATGGTAGGGAAAAATATTATTTAACACAGTGTAAGACTTCTTAGTTAAAGTATTACTTAGAAAAATTAAGTAAACAGAAATCACAAATATTTATATAAGTAACTATGCTTTATGTATAAAATGTTTGAAATGCTTGCAAATGAGTACTTTCAGACTTTGAAGTAAAAAGCATTCTTCCATTTTTAAAATGAACTTCAGCCCTGAATAAATTAATGATAAAGATATCTACTCTGTATTTATTCCACATGAAATCTTCACTCTCTCATCTTCATTTTATTTTGTCACAATATGGAATTCATGAGTATGAGAAGAATAGCATTCTAATAGCTGCTTTGGCCTGAAAGATTCTATTTTATTCTATTCTATTTTTAGAAATAATATATTTTTTAAAAGCCTGTAGTATAGAAACTATAACAGAAACAGCATATAATTACAGTGTTATAAAATTATTTTTAGATAATTTAAGAAAAGCTGCAGTTAAAAAGTGCTTCATTGGGGGTTAACTCTCACATTTTCATCTGTCTTCCCTCTCAAGTGTTTTTTGTGTTAATATTCTACCAATAATACTCTAGTTTGGGTTCTGCATTTTTATATTTTTAATAAAGAATTATTCCTTCTTTGTAGCTAGACATAATGTAGTCCTTATTGGAGTCAAAAGTCCATACTGCAGTCAAAACCTGCTCCTTTAAATTCATATATCTATTTTAATTTTGTGTTAAGTCCTCTTATTTACAACACATAAGACATATATGCATACAATATATGTATATGATATATAGACATAAAATAGAAAAAAAGGTTATAAAATATTTCATTTAAAAAAAGTAGAGAAAACTGTGTCTGGCTTTGGATAAAATGCCGAGAGCAGAGGTGACAATATTCTTTAACAAAATCTACAGTGCATAAGGGACAGAACTCACACGTCAAACCTCCACAGCTGTGGGCAACCCGGATGGAATATCCTTAACCAATGAATATCCTAAAGGAAATCTCAGAATACAATTTTTATCTAACTTAGACAACATTCACAGATTATCATAACAAGGACTCTCCGAAATGAGTTAATTTTTTCAGATTTTCTATTTGGAACTGCAGAAACTTTTTTCCTCCTGCAATCATCTGTCAAAAGCTTAAGGTCTTGACTATGAAAGTGTGATTCTCCTCTTTCTCCTGCCAATTTTTCTGATCTTTCCCCCGAACCTCCCCATTCAGGTCAGTTGCTTTTAAAGCACAGTGCTAACACCTAATATTTTGTTCTGTTTCTACCCTTTCAAACTTCCAAAACTCTCCAAACGAAGAGGTCAGAGGAAGGAGACTTTATTTAGGAAAAGATCCATTTAGCTGACACAGTCTCATGACAGACAATAAACTTTCCAGCACCATTTCTTCTGTTTTGCAAGGACAAAGAATACGAAGAAAAATATCATAAAAGGAACAAAAGTAACAAAGTCTTACTAATGATTATATTGATGCTTTTCTATAGACTCCTTCCTACTGCCTTCTATTGTACACATCACCACTTTAGGCTTCACTTTAAAAGACACACACACTATACTCTATTCTACTAAATTTCTGACTGACTGTTTTCAAAGCTCCTATTTATCTCTATAGTGAAATTACTAAAGAGGCTCAGGCATCCTGTATGATTTTCTTGCTGCTCACGGTCTTCAGGGAGTTTTGCTTTGGAGTTTACTTTGTTAAATACGTGAGCGTGGCAAAGTAACTGAAGGAAGATACATTTGATGAAGTGGTTTTAAAATTTATTGTGAGGGTGTACAAATGTTTGGCAATCCTGCAAGCCTCTCAAAAAACTTTCCGTAGAAGTGGGTCAGCTATTAAGAAATCTCTGCTGCACACGCATTTCTTCTTTTGATATTGGCAGTTTCTTTGACATTGTAGTTATGTAAAATAACATCATTTGATCTGCTGGAAAACTTCAACGAATCACAGGGACTCCTTTGAAGATGAAGACCAAAACTTTGACTTTGATTCAATATTAAAAGCCACCAAAAAAAAAAAAAAAACACACACCAGCACAACCTGCTTTCAGACAGCAGTTAGCAAAATACACTCAGAAATTACAACTGCTGCAAAGGACAATTTTCACAGTAACTGTAATTAGGGTGCATAGTATTTTTGTAACACATTCTGGGTAATGACTGGGGTTGACCAGGAGTTTTTGGAGTCTTAATCCTTACAAAGCAAAAAGCACTTAATTTTTGCATGTACTATAGCTACTAGTAGTAGATTCAAATAAAGCTATTTTTACAAATTACAGCTCATGTTTCTTTAAAATACATTTGTAGAAAGTATGCTGATACCATGGAGCCAAAGCATGTCTGCTTCCAAAACGTCAAAAAATTCCAATTCTCCACAATGATTTTATTCTTATTATTTAAAATTATAATTTCTCATGAAATGCTGCAAGCTTCAGCAGATTTCAGGAAGTCAAATTTTTATTACTTTATGACTTTCACAGGTCCTCATCATTATTTTATATTTAAAGATGGAATCATACTGTACAAAAAGACCTTTCTGGATGCTTATAGTCGTCTTTCTGTTAATTGCTAAGAATTTATCTTCAAAATTCATGTTGATGTTATGTATCTGAATATGGCATACCTGCAAATATTTTTGCTTTTCACATTTCTGTTAAGCTCCATCCAAGATCATAGCATTTACTACCCAGAAAGTCACTTGCAATGTTTCTTTTTTCTTTCATTCTATTCTACAACAACTAAAAATGGGATTCAAAAGGAATAAGACTATCTGTTACTGTATGACAGAGCAATCAGTGCACACAGCAAATAGAAGTGAGATATTTGCATTTGAATATGTAGTTATAGTGTAATAGCTATACATTTTCATCACCTTTTGTTAAACAATCCTAAGGATTGTTAAAGAAAGTGTAATTGTATAAGGATTGATTTGAAATCACTCATCATATCCTATTAGGAAGGATCTACTAATCATCATGTTTCTTAACTACTTGCTGAATTAATACTGCTCATTAAATATTAGGTTTGATAATCCACCTAGATCAATGTGTATTCTTGGCCTGACTTAAGAGTTCCTCTGCCTGCTTTGTAGTTAAACAGACAGCTTTAGCACTTCATATCATATTGCAGAGGATGACAGGTGTATTATTTGAAATGTTGGCACACAAAGATCATTTCAAATAGCTACAATTGCTGAAATATGATGCCATTTTTAATAACTACAAAAAAAATTGAAAAGGTTTTCTTATCATACAGAACACAGTGAGAATTCAACCTATCTATCCTCTTTTTTCCTTATCAGGACAAATTTCAGGTCTTCCAAAACTTCCAAAAACTGGAAAAAATTCTCAAAGAACCTCTTCAAAACAGTCACCAATTGTGTGACTAGAAGGTTACACAAAGTACGTGTGGATCTAAGATTTAAAAGCTATGTTCATCCACATTCCTAATTGATCCAATCTTTCAACAAAATATGCTACAATAATTAAATATTACAATACAATACAATTACAATTACAATACAATACAATAAAAATTACAATTACAATAATTAAAAATTTGTGGATTCAGCATGACTCTCCACACTCCAAAACAAGTCTCCTATCCACCAGAGTATAGAATCAAGTCTTCTTCACATAAAGTGAACCAGCTCTATTAACACATTTTGAGACATGTAAGTCTTAGAATAACCTACATCATGATCTGGTTCTTGTAGGACATACAGGAGATACAATTTAAAATCCATAGTCTGAGTCATGTAAAGAAGGAATATGCAGCAAGAATTTTAACAAATGAATATTTTCTGACAAAAAGAAAATCATATTTACCAATTCTACTAATAATTTGTCATAAACTTTGAGAGTCACATAATTACAGAATGATTGAGGTTGGAAGGGACCTCTGGGGATCATCTAGTCCAACCCTCCCTGCTCAAGCAGAGTCATATAGAGCATGTTGCACAGTATCACATTCAGGCAGATTTTGGATATCTCCAGAGAAGGAGATAGACTGCTTTCCGGGCAACCTGCTCCAGTGCTCTGTCAATAAGTTTTTCCTGAAATTCAGGTGGAACTTCCTGTGCTTCAGTTTGTGCCTGCTGCCTTTTGTCCTATCGCTTGCCACCACTGAAAAGTCCGGCCCCTTTCTCTTGACACACTCCCTTAAACATATTTGTATACAGTGATAATATTCCCGTCTGAAGAAGACAGACAGAAGGAGAAATCTTCTCTTCTCCATGCTAAACAGGCCCTGCAATCTCAGCTTTTCCTCGTAAGAGAGATGCTTCAGTCCCCTAAATTTTAAGACTTATTCTACACAAAAACAGTGACTTACCAAAGAGAAATGAATTAAGTACATGCAATTTTGATAATATAATCCAAAGACTAGAGGGACACCAAAAGGGAAGAAATCAGGGATACCTATGGGTATATTTTACAGATAAAAAGCTACATGATTACACAGCCTGTGAACTTAAACACCATAAACCATAACAAGAAAACAATTTCCAGAGAATAAGAAAGGTATTTTTGCATACACAAAGTATGTCTAAGTACATATACTTTTACCTATATTCTACCATTTGTAGAAGCATACACTATAGAATGCCAAGAAACACTCAGTTCAGTTATATTCCAGGTATGTCTGAAACGGAAACAGATCTCCTATTGCTTATGAATTGATTTTAAATAGGAAAATCTTCCTAGAGACCCTAGCTGTTCTAAGGAGGCTATCAAACAAGGAAGCAACAGTTCAGTATCAGACTGAGGTACACAACATCAAACTTCTAGAGATCCAGTCCACTGCAGATTAATAAAATAGCCTTAACTAAAAAAAAAAGAGTTTTTTTGTTTGTTTGTTTGTTTGTTTATTTGTTTGGGGGTTTTTTTTGCTACTACTTTCCATCTTGCTTCCATTGGGCACCAACATCTTCTTCTGAATACAAAATGTCTTACTCTACTGGACTCCTATGTAAGTTTTTCCACTCCTGAATTATGCTCTCTGTAAAAAGCTACACATTGATCTTAGTTGGAATTTCCCAAAGAAGCATTGCTGCTATTTGATTTTGTGACACTTTTTCTTTCTAGATAAAAGATTTGTCTATTAGGGGAGATTTTCTCACAAGCATTGATACTTTTATACAATGATAGTATTATCTTTAATAAAGTGGATAAATCATAGTCTTAATATACAGCAGTGCAGACACTTAAAAATGTATAATATCTAGAAAACCTATAAATAACTTTTTGCTGAATTCCATGAAAACTCTGCTTCTATACTTCCAAAATGTGACAGGGTTTTAAAAAAAATCCTTTTAACTTGAAGCAATTGACCAAAATTACTATGTTAGAAGCATAGTATCTGCAGGTTCTCTCCTGTCAGTGGAAAAAGGCAGGTATCTCCCCACAGCAGTTTAGCTCATCTGAGATGCTAATTGTCTTCATAGGGAAGGTGCCTGTCTGTATAGACAAAATGAAGGTGGTAAATCCAGAATTCTGATTTAGGTCTCAAAAGATAGAAGGAATACAACAGGGGCCTAGCTACCTCACCACAGCATGTTTTCAACAATTTATCCATTTTAGATATCTTTTCCTTACCTGAGTTTTTTCTTGATCCTGCTTTCCAAAACATAGCTCCTCATTCTGTAAGTCTAGCCTGATTTATTGACAATAGATACAATATAAACTTGTCCTGCATTAAGATTCATATTGCTCATGTGAACCTAATCTACAATCCAGAGAATCCTTATCCAAGAAGAAGAATTTTAGTGGATATTTTCTTTTTCTGTAACACTGATTTTTTTTTATTCCTAGTTATAAGACATGTTATACGGACATGATGCCTTGGATTCAGCTTTAGCGATGTAAGTTTCGCCCAGTTTATCATGGCCACATTGGCAAGGAGTCATGGAAAAGAATCTAAATATGCAGCACAGCGAGAGGTTGCAAAGCCTTTCTGTACATCTGGTGAATATGTACTAATATAAATTCACTGAATTTTGCTCCTTACTGAGGAAAGGAAAAGAACCAGATGGATGTGATCAACCTTGAGTGGATGTGATCAACCTTGAGTGGATTCTTAATTTTGCTAAAAGCAATTACTCTCTTAACTACATTAGTTAAAATTCTCCTTTTATTTTTGATTTTTCTTGGAACATGACATTCAGTCTTGTAAAGCAATAGTGAATATACGTTAACCTTTTTGCCTACAAATGACATTGACTGCTAACAATATAATCTAACTAATATTTACAAAAAATTAACCACACACATTTATACATACCAAAGAATTACTGGTTCCAAAACATCTAAAGAGGAGTGTTGCTATAGAATTCTTTCTACTAAGAAAGAATTCTCCTTTAATTCTATAGTTTCTAAGTGATTAATTCAACCTAGCAACATTAAAATACTAGAACAGTATTTAGCATACATAAAATACTTAGACATTATAATTCACAGATGGGGTTCATGCCAAAATCCACTAAATTTTTGCATTTCCTGCACACCTGAGTTTAAGACAGTGGCTGTTACTCTTCCGAGGAAAACAAAGCTAAAAAAATCACATCTGTTTTTAACAGCTTTGAGATTAGTTTCTGAAGTGGTGGATGACTGCATTCTATTTTTTCTGTTTAGTTCCTACGAAAGGAACTAGATTGACAGTATTGGAGCCTTCTATTTATCCACAGAACAGATGGCCTGCAGGCAGCATGTGCCATAATGCACATCTATATAAAAATCTATTTTTTGACAAATTATCTCTTTTCCTAGGTCTGCTTTACAGAAACAGTTAAGATTTTTTTCCTGAAAAAAGTTTAAATCAGAAAATTTCTTTTTGACAAAATCTGAGAATACATTAAAAAAATATTTTTTGATAAATTTCTGACATTTTGCCAGGGTGGCAGCATGGTTTTGAAGAAGCCCAAGCTGTTAGTATGTACAGCAATAAGCCTATTAAAACAAGAGGCCAGAGATAAGGAAATCTGATTTTAGCTCACTGCTGTAAATTTACAAAACCTGGCTGAATCTGCTGCCTTGCAGAATCATAGAATCAGGATTTGCAGGTTCCCATATTTCTCCGAGGAAGTCTCAAACCTCTAAAAGTACCTAAGTATCTGTGTTCATTTATCTTCAGGTTCTAGACTCTCAATGATTCTTAATATTCGACACAGGCAACCCTAACTTTTATTTAAATACAAAGATTAAATAATTCTCCTGATCCAACAGGAATTAATTCAACAAAGTTCAGACTGTATTCTAATAAGGTTGGATGTAATCTATAAAGACTGGATAATCAGTTACTTTTTCTGGCCTTACAATCTATTAACATTTTACAAATATGAAACTCTCATATATTCTATATTAATAATCTTAAGTAGTGTCAGAACCTGGTCCAGAACCCTATTATCTCCCACAGCCTTGCACCTGCTTGAATTATCAGATTAGAGCAGGTGTTCCCTACTTGTTTTCTTTCTTGTAATCCTAGCAATCTAACATTTCTAGCGACATATCAAGATACACCTGGATGTGCCCTGCATAATTCACTTGTGTTTCTGAATTAATCTGTAAGTGCTGTATTCCATGCTGAACAAAGTATTTCCAACTGTGCAATATTATCATGGGATTAACAAACTCATTGGATGACATGTCACAGAAAACTTATTTTGTGAATTCCCTACAAATTTAGGCATAAAATAGGTGGAAAAAGCCAAATTGGCAATGCCACCTGAAATGTTAAGAAGCTAAGTTAAATCACTTCTGGATTCATCTCTACTCCACAGTCCAGAGAATGAATAGGGACTGTTGGCAGTTGTCCCAAGTTTCCATTAACAAATTGCTGGGTCTTAATCACAACAAAAGCTAGTCAGTTATAGTTTAATTCAGTTTATTTACTCCTTAAAAGTCTCAGAACAGTAACTGCAGTTACTAGCACATGGTCTTCACTTACAGTTTTATATATTTATTTCCTCATGTTACCACAAGTCTTTTTCTAGACAAGTGTAGAAAATAAATAAAACATTAGCTAATGAAATCACAGATTACAGTTTTACCTGAAAGGTGGTCAAGGAGAACTGGACAAAAACTGATTTTATATATATATTGTAACTAGATAAAAGTCAAAGAATATCCCCTTTCTTTTTCCAGGTACTGTAGAATTTTTGCGCTAAACACAGGTGCAAACTGTTAATAAACCCTTATATCACAGGAACACCAATATATATAGAGCTACTTTTTTCTGAAAAATGTATGGACAGATGGCTGGACTAGGCTAATAAAACATATTAATGAAACTCTAGGATATCGATTACAGTTTTTATTTTTCTTTTTTTAAACGTGCAACATATGGGAACTCAAGAAATGCAGTAAGAAATATTGCCATGCATAATACCTTAACTTGAAGTTTGCCTTCCTGTATGCGCCCTTTCCAAGAGGCTGTAAATTTAAGGCTATCCACAGAACAACTCATTACTCTGCAAGGGAACATATACATTTAATGTTATGGACATATTACAATGGAAAATTGAAAAACAAACCTGAAAACAAC